AATTATAACTTGATGTCCATCAAAAACTATTTCCTATTCAATGAAATTAGGACTGATTCGATATCATTATTAGGCATATTGATCGCCCTATCGAAATAGAAGGTCCATATATCACTATTTAGCTTAAGTTCTTCTTAAACCACCATGATTAATTCGTCAACAAATTCAAATTTCAAAAGCTTGTAGCCATCAATTATGTTGTCCAACAAATGATAAGCTATTACAACTCATTTCACAACTTTCCTTGTCATGTACATAATATCATATTCAAACAACATGACTAACCATCTTCCGAGTTCGGTTAGACAAATATGACTTTTTAAAAATACACTTGAGTGAATCCATTTTTGAAATTAGTCAAGTGGTGTAGTAGATCAAGTATTATAACTCATCATGTACATCATACCAAACCACAATACACTTACTCAAGCACATTATATCTTGACACATAGTCGGTGAGCTTTTGCTTGAAGTAGTAGATGGCTTGTTCTTTTTTTCCTAATTCATCACATTGACCTAAGACAATTGCCATACTACCTCTGTCATTTTTAAGTATAAAATCAAGGGTCTTTTAAGTATCAATAGAACCAATAATATTGAGTTTTGTAAGTATTGCTTGATTTGGTAAAACTCTTTTTAGCATGCATATTCCCATACACTAAGATTGTTCTTTTATAGTAATTGGAAGATCAACTCACATGTATTTGTTAGTTGAGAAGCAAAGCAAGAATATTATTCAAACAACCTAAAAATCTTCTAACTTTGTTCTTTATTAATAGTAATGGCATGCCTTAAATTACTTTGACCTTGATAGGATCGACTTCGATTCTTATGTTGCTTACTATTAACCTAAGCAATTTCCTCGACTTCACACTTAAAGTACACTTCAACAAATTACATCACAATTGGTACTTGAAGGATCATGCATCCTAGGAGGTGCAGAGTAAATAAAAATTTTCCTCCATCTAAGGGCCTAAGATTAAACCATTGAATCTATTAACCATACATATAGGAATTTAAAGCAATGAATAAAGAATTACCTCTTGTAGCATAGATCTAAATTCTTTTATTAGAAAAGCCATCCAAATATCCGGACTCTATTAATCATCCACGTAGTCCAAGTACCCACAAAGAAGCACTCAAAATCAATAAGGTGCTAGCTTCACTTTTTTTATTTGTGTAGTGTTTCTTATATAAATCCTTTCCGAGCAATTTTACTACAACCTTAAAAGAGAAGCAAAGAGTATGGCGTGCTAGGGTTTTTGGAAAAAAAGCTATTTTCTCCTTTTTTCTCTCTCTCTCTTTGCCATGTGTCCTAATGGAATTTAAGGCTAGTTGAATTTCTCTTTTTTCTTTTTCTTGTGTTTCCACACCTCCCTCTCTCCTTTATATTTATAAGAGAGTTTACTTATCCTTCAAGGACAAGGAGAGGGACAACAATAAGTCCCTAAAGAACTCTAGGTTGCTTGCTTCCTTATCCTCAAAGGATGATGATTTATTTTACATGTGGATTTTTTATCATTATCTTTAAAACATTCATCCTTATCCAATAAGGTTGACGTTTATCCTCTCATCAAAATATCTTAAAGCTTTTAATTAAACCTAATGGGCCAAAATCATTCTAGCCCAATTAATTTATTTGGACTATCCAAACAAATAATCTCAAATTATTTTAGGCAAGTCCACATTAGGAAACAATTTCTCAAAATACCCTTTAATCTAATTTAGGAAATACATTTCTATTTTAGGTTATTTATTTCCAAACTTAGAACCAACTTTCAAATTAAGAAATTGATTTCTAAAATAGGAAAATTTTTATTTTAGGAAATTTCCTAATTAAGGAAACCTTCCATTTTAGGAAACTTCCCATTTAAGGAACTTTCCATTTTGGAAACCCTTTTCAAAACGAGAAAACTTTCAAAATTGGAAATTTTTTCCAATATCTTTGCTTTTTATTCATCATATGAATACTTAAACTTATGAGTATGACTCGATAGACTCCTAGATATGTTGGCAATATATCAAGAACAAAAAACTCTTCCTTTTTCTCTCAATACATAAATCAAGATTGACCTCTAAGAAGGCATCATAATTATTCAATTTTTTAAGAGGATTAATTAATTCATTATTACCTTTCACGAGCATGGTTACCGTACAATTCAATCCTCATGTCATTACCATACAATTCAATGCTCATGTCATCTTATCATAGTGTGATCTCGAACTTGGTTATAAGTCTTGTTCGATTATGATTACACAAGTTTTTGTCAATTTTTAAATGTCTTAGCTCACAGAGTAGACCAATTATGCTCTATTGGTTTATCTTTACTTCGACTCTGATTTTTTCAGCGAGACATTTATCGAAGTACAATGTGATAACTCTTTTAGCATACACGGAATGACATGTCCTATCTTAGTCATACACTTAGCTCCATTAGATTCCTAGTGCTTTCAATGAATCGCTCATGTGTAACCCTTTAATGGATCCATCGAAACGAGTGTCAAAGTTCATTAGTCTTATAATGAGACAACCATGATGACTTCAAGTCTAAAGACCATTTATACCTATCTCGTATGAGATTTCCATAGACTAAAACCAAATAGGTTCTCAAGGTGAGTCAAGTCCAATAATACGTTCTCTAACATAAATCACCTAAGTGCTTGCTTTGGCATCACCATGCCAATATATGTGAGATCTCCTACTCGCTATCATATAGCGAGCATAACACTCACAAGTCTATTCGTATATAGTCAATGTCCATTCTTCACAATACTATGACTTGGGACATTTAATGATATCATTTATATGCATTAGTGTTTGTCTTACATCTTTCGATCAATCAATCACTATTGCAAATGCATATCATATGGACTTCTATCGAATTCTACTAAAATTACAAACATAAAACATAAGAATTAATAGAATGACTTCTTTAAAATAAATAATGCAATAATACATTAACTTAAACTCGACCAAACATGGTTGGATCTTGGGCATCTACACTAATAGTATTTCCTTAGCCTTCAAATAGTCATTTTATAATCAAAGATTGATCTTTATCATCTTTGGATTTTGCAATCATATCATCCTCATACACCTCAACCTCTTTGTGCATCATATCATAGAATAATATAACCATGGCACTTTGATAGGTATCCCTAACCTTCTTCAACTCGAAAGGCATGATTTTGTAATAGAAAGTTCCTCGATGTTTGACAAATGTACTTTTCTCTTTGTCCTCTATGGCCATCTTGATTTAACTATATCTTAAGAATCTATCCATGAATGAGTAGGTTGTATTATTCATTGTGATGTGAACTAGGACATCAATTTTTCGTAATGGGAAGTTGTCTTTTAAGCAAGCTTTTTTAGGTTATAGAAATCTACAAATATTCGGATTCTACCATCTTATTTTTTCACCACAACTATGTTTGTTATTTATTGGGGTTATTCAACAACTTTTAGAAATCCAGCATCTCATTCTTTATTTATCTCATCTTTTACTTTAAGCAAAATGTTTGGCCTTATCTTCCTCGACTTATATTTTACCGACCTACATCCTAGGCTTAGAGGTAATCTATCTCTACTATTTTAGCATCTAATCCTAGTATATCGACATATGACCATACGAAAAACGTATGTATATTTTTTAGAATGGAGATCAAACTATCCTTCTCATCATCCTCAATAAAGATATCCACCTTTAACTCTCATCTGTCTTTATTAGTCCCTATATTTATTAGTTCTAACTACTCTTTGTGTAGTTTAATAGGTTGTTCTAATAATTCTACTAATTTTATGACTTCTTTTACATTACTTTCATCTCAATCTTTGTTATCCATTGCAACTAACATTTTATCAAAGTCGGGACAATCTTTTAAATGCAATTATTTTCATTTTTAATAAGGTGATCATAATGTATGTCCTTGAAATAAATAAAAAGGTGCAAATAAAACGAAGAGAAAAAAATCCGGATAAGATATTTTCAAGAGAAATTTTACATAATTTGATTTATTAGTATTATTTATAAATAGATAAGACTCCATATCTATAGTTCCTTTACAATATTTGAGCAAAAATTCAACTAAAAGGTTACACAAAAGCATGATAAGGATATTTACTCGACCTTATAAACAACATGTGTTTCCTCATTAGACTAGTTGGTTAGCTCTTCGCCCTCGACATACTTCTAGAAAAGCCGATGAATATCGAAAGTTTCCTCCATCATATTGATCATGAGTTAAAGAAAGGTTACCATACTTGATTTGGCTAATGATGATATTGATGGATCATAATTATCTTTGCCATTGGCCATTACTACCCTACAGAGTGTTGACCATCTTGTTATTGAATAAATACTCCAAACTCAAATCCTCCTCGTTAATAAACACTACATATGAAGGCTTTGGAAAGGTAACATAGATACGGGAAATGTCAATCTTCTTATCATTGAGATATTGCCCTTTAATATGAGCTAATCTTTTCTCATGTTTCTATTCAACCATTCTTTGAAAGTCTTTCTTAGATGGCTTGAAACCCAACCTAAATCAATAGTCTACAATCCCTAACATCATATGTTTAATTCTCTTGGATAAATAACTGCCTATGTCATAAGTAGCAACCTAACTTTCACCATGCATTAGGCTCATTTTCACAACATTCGATAGCTCAAGCTTCCTTATTTGATAATTTTAAGGAATTAGCTTAGCATTAACCACCTTAAATACATGTAAGTTTCCATCACAAGTTCCCTTTATCATGATTTATGGAACCGATATATGGCCTCTTCGGCTTTCACAATGATTATTCTTCTACTGGCCATACATTTTAACTTTTGATGCAATAAAGATATAATAGCTCGAATATAATGGATTTAGGCATTCCCAACAACATACTCGACAAAATAAATCACTTGCAAGGTGGTTTGGAATTAATATGACCTAAAGCTAAGGTCAATGTCTATATCACAAATGACCTATCAAAGTGTGTCATTATAAGCTCATTCCATCATCTTGCTTGACCTCATATGTAAAGGATCAACTAGTACATGGTCCAAAACATACTTAGGAAACACATTAAGAGCAAACCCATTATCAATCAATACTTTGGGTATCATATGATCCTTACACCTAATAGTGATATATAAGGCTTTGTTGTGACTAGTGCTCTCGAGTCACAACTCATCTTTTGTGAAGTACAAATAGTTAGTAGCATGTAGATGTTCCATAAATTGAGAAGTGTTATCTTATAAAGCATATGCCTCATTGATAAATTTTTGAAGTGCTTTTTGGTGAGGATAACAATAGAGAAATGCATGCATATGTCTTATTCAAATTATCCACCACACTATACTTACTATGCTTCATTAATTTCATAAATTCCATAACCTTCTCATCATCTATAAGCTTATTCACTTTAACATTCTTAAGAGTGGATCGAGCACTTTTGTTCTTTACTACTCTTAACTCTTTAGGGCTAAAACACCTTCTTATACATGTAACTCCTCTAATATAAACTACTCCATCAATAGAAATCTTCATAATAACATATGACTTGGCAAAATAAGAAAAAAGGTCCATACTTGTAAAAAGCGACCAAGTAGTCAACATTTATAGAAGTTGGTGCTTTCAAGACTAACTTTTTAAGGCTTACCCCATTTAACTCATATGTAAAGAATTCAGATTGGTCAAGATCATGGTTTGAGGATTACATATCCACCTTAAGCTCTTATTTTTCCTTTTCCACCCTCTAGGATCCCAATACCAACATGGTTTGAACAATTTGATGAAATTCAAAACAATCATCAATGTCTCAACGTCCTTTTGCTTCATGACACCGACAAAAATGTTCAATATGAACGAAAGTTTGAGATTCAATAGCCTTATGTCAAGGCCATTAATATTCATCATGTCGAACATACTAGACATAGAGACCTTCAGTGCCGACCTCTTCTTATCATATGTCACATCATGAAAAGACATCATCTTTAGCTCTCTAGTAGTGGAATGGTTTGGCAATGGATTAGTGTTCACATTTGAAGAATTTAGAGCATCCTCAAATCCATCTTTGGTCGATCAACCATTGAGCTTTTCTCTTGAAACTAAGATAGCTTTCAATGTTATGCCTAGGTACACCATTATGATATTCACATATTTCTTTCAACTTATACCATCTAGGAAAGAGAGGTTATAATGGAGTAATAGGCACTTAGAGTCACTTGACCAATGGTGACTAGATGTTTGAAAATATCTACATGAGAGATAAGAAGAGGTTGTAGGATCTCTCTAAATTCACCACTCTTGGTGTTCATTTGATTGTTTTGATTAAATAAAACTCATTAAATATTGAATTATCAAAATGCTAAAGGATCTATAGGAATAACTTATGGCTAGTTTGTATGAAATTTTAGTGCTTGAGCCATTAAGCTAACGATATTTACAAACATGATGCTCATTAAAGTCATAATTAAGAAGTACGATTAGCCATATGGTCTCGTAGAAAGAATTCATTATTGGATTTCTAAAGAGCTTTCTAACAATCTATTAGATGAAAAGCAAGTGTTTTAACCGAATGCACACATATGTCTTTCCTTTTCTCAAAGTTACTCTTCTTAGAGCTTGACTCTAATGGCTTTACCACTCCTCCATCTTTAATATTCTACTCAATTCAAACAATAATAGATACGATCTTTAAAAAATTATTGGTCTCATTACTTAATAGATAATCGTAGTAAGGCATCTTGAAAGTATTTATAAAAAGTGAGACCAACTCCTTTTTCCAATAAAAAAGGTTGAATTTTAGAAGTAGTCTCTCACCATCTTTAGGCAAATTCTCTTATTGACTATTTCACACCTTTAGGCTAGATCAATCAAGAGTCACTGTAAGATTAAACTTGTATTAATTTATAAAAGTTTCAACTAGATCTCTTCACTTCTTGATCTTCATTTGGTCCAAGTCAATGAACCAATTAAAGGCTGAACCCTCTAGACTTTTTAAGAAGAAGTGACTAAGAAGTTTTTCATCATCGGCAACTTCAACCATCTTGTTTAAATACACCCTAAGATGGGTTCTTCATCATTAGCTACCTGTATATCTCATAAATTTTGACACTTAAAACTTCTTCAAAATAACCATATTTAGCATCTAACTTTGATCCATTTTCAAGAGGCGATCATACACATCTATACCCTCTATTTCTTGAAGTTGCTTCTTAATGGCATTGAACTTCCCCATCTAACTTTGATCCATTTTCAAGAGGGGATCATACACATCTATACCCTCTATTTCTTGAAGTTGCTTCTTAATGGCATTGAACTTCCCCACTCGAAAATATGACGTCATCTTATCTTTTCCTATATCATCAATAATCAAGTCAATAACGAAGCCATTTACGCTTGTAAAGTGCATGATAACAACAAAATTGGCATTAAAGCCTTTTGGGGAACAGAGCTCGGACATGCCCTAAGGTATAAACACATTGACTAGATTGGCAAGTAGGATGTTCTCTTATTGAGGAACAAAGAATGGAGGCACAAGAGCCACAGAGCTAAGGATTAAGCATGGGTATGGAAAATAGCACTTTGAGGGTAGTGGACTATAATATCATTGGCCTAAAAGCCTCCTTAATTAATTATTTATTTATGAATAATTTAAATTAATGTGTGTATATTGATTCAGCCATAATTAAAAATTAAGGTTAATTGGATTAATTTGAATAATTATGTTAATTATATGTTTATAATTAACACAATCGAAGAAATGATCTTTGTTACTTGATTTGTATAATTTGGCCAAACCCTAAGAATAGAATTATATGAATTAATTTGATGATTAATGATGTTTAATTATGTAAAAGGTTTATTTAACTTGAATATAAGTATTTAAGTGCAAAATACTCCATAATAAGTGAAGTGAAAGTTTCGACCAAGAAAGATGATTAGGATTAATTTCCATTTTTATAAAATTATGGTGGATTGATGTTTATTATATTGATGAAGGATGAACATATATGATGGTTGCTTGATTTATGCTTGGTTTTATGAGATGGATTTTCCTTGAATGTTTTGGCAAAATATTGTCTTTCATGGTTTATGGCATTTGTTTGAATTAATGATAAATTCATACATGCAATAAGGTATTAAGTAAATGTCTATATTTACAAGTTTATATTAATTGTACATGGTATTGTTAGTGCATGCATGTTTATGAAAAGCATGAAGGTAATGTATTTTATTGTATGCATTTCATGCCACTATCATGAAAGGATTTTTCTTCACAATTTTCAAAGGAAAAGGAAAATGATATGATATGTTTTCCAAAGGAAATGGCTAGGCATCTTCATAAATGATTGCAAAAGGAATGATCACCCTCTTGAGATGAAAAGAAAAAGAAAAATAATAAAGAATAGGAAATGAAAAGGAAAAAGAAAAGGTACTTTATGATTTTATGATTTTTCACAATTATATGTTTTAAAAGAGGGCCAATTATATATACAATTGGCAAGGCGGGCCTAAGGAGAAAATAAATTTCAAAAAGAAAAGAAAATAATTTTTTATTGCATCATATGCATTTCATGCATGGATTACACTTACAAAGCATATCTCACTTTTTCTTCTTCGGTTTAAGTGAGAAGGATAATAAATGATGGTATGCTTCGAAGTAATGATTGTTGTCAAGTAAGAACCGACTTGTCATCGTGTGTACTCTAAATATAGATGTTAGTTAGAGGGCTTTACCTTTCCCTTTCTATCATGTTTTTGGACCTTAGTATATGTACTAGAGTTAGTACTTATGGTTTGTAAAAATAATGATCCACTTAGGATGACTTTAAATAATAAATAAATATGTGTGTGCTTAAATATGTGTGTGCTTAGGACTAGATAAATTCAATTCATGCTTGAAATTAATAGTTGATTAAATCAGTTGGACTAAGTTTATAAATGGATTAAATAAGTAATTAAATTGGATTAAGTGAGAACTTAATAATTAAAGGGTTAAATAGATTAATTGACTTAAAGGCTATCATTTGATTTAATTAGCATAAAGTAATAAGATTTAATTAGAAGGAAATAACTAAATTTAAACAAGTAATTGAATTGATGTTTTAATAGCCTCCAATATGCTTAGAACTTTATTTATCTTCCAATGGGCTAAATAAGGAATTTTTGATCAAGTCAATTAATTGAACTTTTAGTTCTAAGGGATTTCTACTAAAATTGGCAATAGCCATCACTTAAGAATGAAGTTAATTATTAAATGGAGTATGATATTTAGTTAATTAAAGCCAAAAGGATTATTTTTCAAATAATTCGAATTTTAGGGAAGATTTTATTAAGTTAATAAAGATTAAATCGATTATTTCATAATATTGAGTAAATTAATTAATCTGAATTTTATAGAATTAATTAAAGAAAATTAAAGAGGAAAATTATTTCATATAATTCAAAATGTTATTTTAAAATATTTAAATTGATTTTTTCCAAGATGAATTTTTTGAGCATATTTTTCAGTAATTAGTTCCACGTAATTTATGAAGAAGTATTGATATTAAATATTAAGTCATAATAATTATTTGATTAAGTGAGTTTATTTTGGAAAAATTTTATACCTAAATTTAATTACCTAATTAATGATATTAATGCATTTTAGCGAGTAAATATAAATATAACTTAATTAGACAATAAAAAGGGATGAGGCTTGATTTCTTGCATTCATTGCACTAGGAATGTAAGGCATCATCGATAATACTTTTGACCTATTTAGATCCTAAGTCACGGGCATTACATAAATAATTAGCCTATCTCTAGATTAGGAGAAGGCTCCATGGTAACATGCATTTGTAGGCTTCACTCAAGTAAAGTCTGTGAGCACTAGTGACTTCTCCTTTTAGCATATCTATCTTTTTTTTTGTGATTTTGCCCAAGTTGAGCTCTTTCTTTCTTGGCCATTTTTTCTCTCGACCTTGCTTTGTATATTCTTAAATGAAGTATAATTTTAATAGGATGATTTATATTTATGTACAAATAAGAAAATAAAAAAAATATAGTACATAAATAACATATTGATATGAAAGAGTTTTTTTCTTTTAGGTCTTTCATCAATGAAATTGCTTGTGAAACCGGATCAATAACCTTTTTGATTATTTTTTTGAAAGATTACTCTTGTTGTAGATTGATTTGAGTTGTTAGACTCCTTTCTTTTTTGCTTTGTTTTAGGGTAACCCCCAAGTATTAGAAAAAAATCATAGCATCATTGTATATTTTTACCAACAAGTTATCGATAGAGAATCAAATGATTTATGGCTTGGGTTTAATCAATGCATTCATTCCATTTTAAGGCCATACATCACATCATCATCATTGCACACTACTCGTTCATTTTTAGACAAAAATATTGAAGTCTTTTTTGATTGAAATTGCAAAATCCTTACGTAATAGTTTGATTTGCTTTCATCAATTGGTCCTCACAAACTAGAAATAAAAAGTATATAATTTTATTTCAAACAATGATTTCATTACACTAAATCCTAACACTCTAAGGAATTTCCACGTTGAGGTATTTTTACTAATAGATACCCTCATTGGCTCATGTATGATGTAAAGGCTTTTGCTTCAAAATTCTATTATTCATTGCTAATATGTTGTTTCAAGTCTCTCAAGACTTTGGCTTTTTTAGTCACCATCATAATCCGAGCTTTTAAATTTTCTAGGCTAATTATGTGTGCTTCACTCACTTAAACTAGATTATAGTTCATGATTGCCTAATACATGGAATGCTTGTGATAATCAACCAATAACATATTTTTCTCTCTTTCAACCTTAGCTATCTTCTTTTCGGTGATGACAAGTGATTTCTTAAGCTCTTCACAATCTTTGAGTTATTCTTTGGACTCATCATAATTTTTTAGTACCTTGGAAAAGATATCCGAAGGATCATACATCATATGGAGGAGGCGCGGAATAAATAAAAAATTTTACTCCATCTAAAGTCCCAAGATCAAGCCATTGAATCTATTCACCATACATGCATGAATTTAAAGCAATAGATGAAGAATTACCTCATATAGCGTAAATCTAAATTCTTTTATTAGAAAAGTCAACCAAGTGTTCAACTTCTACCGATGATCTACGTAGTCCAAGTACCCACAAAGAAGCATTCAAAATTGATAGAGTGCTAGCTCCACTTTTTCTTATTTTTGTATAGTGTTTCCTATAGAAAACCTTTTTCGGACAATTTTGCAATAACCTTAAAAAGAAAGACCTTAAAAAGAAGGAAAGAGTATGGCATGCTAGAGTTTTAGGAGAAAACTATTTTCTCCTTTTATTTTTGGTGTTTGTCGTATGCCACTAGTGGACTTTTTTAAGGCTGGCCAAATTTCCTCTCTTTTCCTCTTTTTCCTTTTTTATGTTATATCTTGTCATACCTCCTATCTCCTATATATTTCTTATTAGTAGAAATGTCTTAGGAACTTTCATAGGAGTATCGGCAAGTCAAGGTTCCTCTTTTGCTTGTTTGGATCATTTTCTTTACCTTCGATAAAGATAATTAATACCGTTGACCAAAGAGGGAAAGTTAGTTGAAAACGAGTGCTATAAGGTTTTCTTTTTTATACTAAAAAGACCAAGGAGAAGCTATCCGTAGCTTTCGAAAAATGGCAACTACCCGAGAAGCTATTGTCCATGGCTAAAAGGTTTGTTAGGCAAGGATAAAGTACCATGAAACTGCTATAGGATAGTAGTTGTTTGGATATAAAACCACTATTAGGTAATGGTTGTTTGATAAAAAAAAAAAAACACCGTTAGACAAGTGGGGAATAGCTATTGGAAATGTCACTAGATTGGGAGGAAGCTACTTGTTGGAACAACTTGTTAGACGAGTGGGGAATCTATAAGAACTACATATGTTTAGTCGCTAATTTTACCACAAGAGAGGAAGGCCATGACGATTCGTTATCGAATTTTTATGTGAAGGAACTATGGTTGCTAGTTCTTAGGTGAGAGAGGTGGTTATGACTATTGTGGTTACTACTAGACAATGGCGGCGGTGACAAAAGCAAAAGGAGGAAGATGACCTAAAGCTTCTTGGTTTTTTTTTTTTTTTTTTGGTCGGATTGTGGGACATTCTTGGGGGTTTTGTGTGGCTTAGGTTTTGGTGGCCATGAATGACGAGTGGGAGGCCTTTCCGGTGGATGATGGTGTATTGTAGGAGAGAGTGTGGAGAGAGTTTGTTCTTCTCTCTAGGTTTCTTTCTCTTTTAAAAAAATGGTCCTTTTATAGTGAGGTTTGTTAGTTTTTTAGAAAATTCTATATTGGCTCCATCCTTTACCTTTTTTTCTAAATTTGAAACCTTATCTCTTCCTTTATTTTTCCTTTACATTTTCAATTGGTAATCTTTTTAATTGAATCCCTAAATCAATTCTTAGGTCCAATATTCCATATTTTATAAAATGGTCCCAACTT